CCTGCGAGAAAAGAGCAATGCAGAGAATATCCCAAATTGTCAGGTGACTGTTGAGTATATGCCAAGTACCTGGCGCTTGTGTGGCTTAGGTTTTTTTTTTTTTTTTTTTTTTTTTAATATGGTGCTGTTCTAAGTTACATGGTTGCAGCCTTTGCCTTTAGGGAGTTCACAGTCCAACTGAAGAGCAGGGAGGCAAAGAGAGAAAGGACAGTGACTTTTTTGGGAGGTCAGAAAGTGACATTATGATGAAGGGAGAAGGAGGAAACAGAAATTCAGAGGCTGCGACACTGAATTCTGGCTGTAGGGAACAGCAGATTTGTCCATAATGTCCCTGACATGGACACGTGGGCAGTAGGTTTCAGAAACAGAACTGTGAGAGAGGCAAGGCAAGAACCTCTCAAGGGAGGAGGCTAGACAAGGCAGTGGGACCAAACCGCATCGCAGGGGGCTAGGTCTGGGGAACCACCACAGGAGTATAAGGCAGGCAGGGTGACATAGCCAGCTTCGTGTGGGTGACTCACACTGAAGAAAGAAGGACAGATGGAGGTGCGAGGCAGAGAAAACCAAAGGAGACCAGAGAGGATGCTTCTGCAGATGTCCATAATGGAGCTGCTGGTGGCATGGCCTGGCACAATTGGTGCTGCATAGGAAGAGGGAGGGGGAGAGATGTTTCCTGGCTGTGCTTAGGGGGAGACTTGGCAGGCCTGAACTTCCTGGCACTGTGGAGTGAGGGGGAGGGAGGAGCTAGCATGACTCAAAGCTGCTGGTTGGGCAGATGGCAGGATAGTGGTGCCATTTGCTGAGCTGAGTGGGGGCTGAGGGGGTTGGAGGGTGGTGGGAGAGTCTGGTTTGGTTTGCAGTTATCAGAGATGAAGCTGGGGGTGGACTGGCAAATGGTGGGTTGTGGGAGAGGAGAAACCACATGAAGCTAAGCAGAGCTGGGTGTAAAGCTCCCTTGGCATACCTAGCCTGGTGGCTTTCATGATGCTTTCACCTCTCCCATGTAGTTTTCTCACGTGTATGGTGGGAAGGAGAGACTAGTCCTAGAGTTGTAGCACCCTGAGGAGTAGGCCCTAACGCCCTTTGCTTCCTGCTGTTCACACCTCCCACATTGTAAAACCTTTGGTCTGTGAGACTAAAACAATACAGGCATATACTATTGAGGTTGGCTTACATGGCTATGGTCTTGCTTTCTGTCAGAGGTGTTGGCTGCCATTTGTCAGAGATGCTCCTGTAACAAGGAACCTTTGTGCTAATAGTCACATGACTCAGGGATGAATTTTCTATCTTCTGATGACTGTAGCTCCTGGTGACAGTCGGACTGCCAGCTTTGATCCAGAAACTATAAGTGATAAATAGGTTTTGCAAACCCCTGTGTTTGAGATGATTTGTTCCCAGGCAAGAAATAACTAACTGTGGCAGAGGATAAGGGCACCTCCCATAGTGTCTGGCACATCATTGGGACTGTCATTCATGTAGGATCTTCCACTCTTGAGGTCAGAAAGGGATGGGCTGGAGGAATGGGCCTGGGAATGCTTGGCTTAGAGATAGCCATAGACTTAATGGAAGTGGATGAGCTAGTCTGGGAGAGAGGGGGGAAGTGCCATTAAAACTCAGGTGTAAAGGATGGAAAAAACTAGAAAAGTCTAATGTGTTTGAGAGGAGGAGATGTAAAAGAGGAAAGCAGAGAGCATGGCATCCTGAGGCACTGGGCACCTGTACCTCTGTATAGGCTTAGGATATGATGACTCCATACCAAGGAAGGTCCTACTAGTTTTAGCAAGACCCATTTAAGTAGGAGGTGGGCCCTGGGACCAGACTGAATGTTGTGGGCTATTGGTTTGTGACAGGGAGATGTACAGCAAAAGGATAAAGGGAGGGGACACTAGGTCAAAGGAGAGGTCTGCTAGTCGGTGTCAAGGAGAGTCCCAAGGCACTTTACCTGGGGATGGTAAGCAGAGGCTAAGCAGAAGAGCTCAGTCTAGAGAGGCTAAAAATATAGAAAAATAGGCCTATCTCTTTCTTAACCATGGAAGTAAAAATCCTAAATAAAACATTAGCCAACAGAACCCAGTATAGTGAAAAAAATACACTATTTAATATATTATAACACTATTTAATATATTATATAAATATAAAATGCATTTTACATAATAATAATATAAAAAAAATAAATGGATGGTTTAACAACAGTTCAAGACTGGAACTCATTACCATCCATTTACAGCCAAGCAAATGCTTCCTAATTCTACAAAGATTTCTCCGTCAGAATTGATAGCCACTACCATACTTACTGGAGACATGTTAGAAGCAAAAGAAGAAGATAATGAACGGTGCCTATTTTCATGGGTGGTATTCAGCTCAATGTGGGTGAATTTGATCAGCATAAAAAGAAAAAGAAATTAGATAAAAACTAGATAGGAGCTATAACCTGTCATTACTTTTGTACTCTATGGTTATTTACACAGAAAATCTAAACACACCTCCAGTCTTGTTAAAACTTAAAGTTTGCTGAATAAAACATTATTTATACAAAAATTGAAGTCACTTCATTAAATTATAAAATTGAAAATGCAATTTATAATATCTATATAACCTTTAAGACAAGAATTATCAGACTTACCCAGGTGAGGGACATATGCTTTTAATCCCAACACTCAGGAGTCAGGAAGATCTCTGTGAGTTTGAAGCCAGCCTGGTCTACTTGTTGATAACCTTGTCTTAAACCCCCCCCCCCTTTTGTTTGTATGGTCCTGATACAATAGTACCAATCCTTGTTACCTTAGTACTAATCTTTAGTACCACAATAACAAACACTTATACTCATTGTATTTTTCTGACTGTAAATCCAATATCCACATATTCTAGAAAATAAATAAACTTTAGAAGAACATTAAGAAGTAATAAATAGGGGGCTGAGAGATTGCTCAACAGTTAAGAGCACTGGCTGCTCTTCCAGAGAACCAGGGTTCTAGTCCCAGCACCCACGTGGTAGCTAACCACATCTATAAGGCCAATTCCAGGTGATGTAGCGCCCTCTTTTGGCCTTCATCGGTATCACAACTAGCACCCTTAGATACATGGCAAGCAAAACACCCATATACATAACATTTTTGAGAAAAAAAAAATCTCTTAAAAAATAAAAAGAATAAGTCACTGACATTGTATCCTTTTCCCTTGGAATACTGTGTTCAATGGTTATTATTGAAAAATTTTGTCTATGTATACTCATTAAAAAAAATCAGCATTAGCGGGGATGGAGGTGTGTGGGGATTGTGGGGGCATGATGGCACATGCCTTTAATGCCAGCACTTGGGAGGCAGAGCCAATGGGATATCTGAGTTTGAGGACGGCCTGCTCTATAGAGTTCTAGGATAGCCAGGGTTACATACAGAAAACGTGTCTACAAACAAACAAGCAAACACAATTAGGATAATGCATTGCTCTTTTGTGTACTGGTTTGCAGAAGCATTTCCCTGTATCCTCACTTAGTTTGTATCCTCTCTTAGTGAACATGTCCGTGTAGCTCCTCCATTAAATAAGTGAAGTCCACTTATTTAACCTATTGATTTGATTTTTGGAGAAAAATCAAATATTAGATGATCATATTTATAAAAGCTAGATTTCAGAACCCCTCACAAACATGTGGCTGTGTAAACCAGGTAGGTGAGTTTCTGTTTTGTTCTTTTAAGACAAAGTCTCGTTATGTAGCCTCAACTGGCCTAGAGCTCGGAAGAGACCTGCCTGCCTCTGCCTTTAAGCGCTGGGATTAAGGAGTGCACCTCAATCACGATCCAGCTAGCTAGAAGCGAATAGCTCTTCCAACTCGGCTATGCCTAGAGTCGATCAGCTCTGCAGCCTTGGCCTCCTTCCTGAAGTGGGGACATTATCCTGAGCCAGGCCAAGCACCTCAGAAGTTTTACACAGGATGTTAGCTCTGTCCTTCTAACTGGCTGCTCTTTGCTGCCCAAAAGGCCGGACAGGTGGTCTCTCAAAGCCAGTAATTTACAGAACGGCCTGCCTATCACACAGAGCCAGGAGGGTCCCTGCCCACAGACGGCTCCTCAGGTCTGAAAGCTGGAGTCCCTCTTCCCTCATTCTCTACGGCAGTCTCCTAACCGGACCCCCTCCCGACGGGATTCGAACTTGTCTTAGTTTGTGTACTGGCTGCTTTCTTGAGTCTTGAGACTCGCCTCGGTCCGGGTGGCTGCTGGGCTCCGTAAGCCCTGCGTACGTTGAAGTCCGTCAACTTAGTGAAAACAGCTGTACGGACGGCCGAGGCACGCCGGGAAGGCGAACGCCCGCGGGGAGGGCTACAAGTGCGGAGGCGGAGTCGGGGGCGGGGCTCGGGCGGGGCGGGGCTCGGGACGCTATCACGGGCGGGGCTTCGGGACTGCTGCAGAGCGCCTGACCACGCCGCCCCGGCAGCGCCCAGAGTGCCCGCGGCCGTTCGGCTCCCCGGCCTCCGCTCCGCGCCGCCGACAGGGGGCGTCCGCGCTCTCGGCGCCGCGACTCCGCTGCGAAGGCGCCGCCCGCGCCGGGCAGCTGGAGCCGCAACTCCGGGCGCCGGCTCAGTCGTC